GTGAATGTTTGTAGGTTCTTTTTGGGGAGCTCTTTGTGTGTTTTTAAGTTATTATTGTTATTTGTATTCCTTTGTTTATTAGCAAAGGAAAGAAACATGGCGTCTCTTCTTCGACCCGCTGGAAACAGCGCTACGGCGGCTAACAGGCTAACTTTAACGAGTTCTTAGCTTGTTTGATTCGGCAACATTCGAGCGTTTGCGGGTTTAAATATTTCCATGGTAACGGCGACCTGCACCAATCAAAGACGTCGGTTCAGTGTGGGATTGTGGGTAGAGCAGTTCTTATCCAGGAAATCGTGAATAAACGCGTTTTTGTCCAAAATAAATGAAATAACGGTTGATGAAGAGAGTTGTGGTTTCCATAGGAACAGATGGCACTGTTTCACAGGGTCGTAGTCAGGCTGCTTTCCATGGTTACAGCACTGTGGCTCAAAATCCCCTCCCTGTGTGAGCGCTGTGTGTACAGGATCAACAGCACAAACCACAAATATAAAACATACAATGAATTCATGTTGTTGTTGATTTAAAGATGGCTTTTATTCAGAGTTATTAACATAAACCAAAGCAGAGTGTAAACCCTGACTGTTTCCAGGCCAAAGCCACGACTGTGAGAGACGCGCTGGCCAAATAGGTGAGACACACAGAAAGTCTTTATTAAAGTCTGAGTAAGTCAACTTCAGATGCCTGCACTATGATTTGGGGAGGATTTTAATCAGGTAACTTCAGGTAACCATGGTAACTGATGCTATGGAACCAATTTTTTAAGAATAATCACTGCTGGAAGGTTCCTCATAGTTGGATTTAAGATCAGATGATTCAAATATATTGGGCGTCTGTGACACGAGGAGCAGAAACGCTGCAGGAAACTACAACAGAGTGCATTCTGGGTAAACGTTCAGGTTTCAGCTGTGCGACTCCTTCAGGTTAGAGGAAGACTGACCAATCAGAAACGAGCTTTACTGTTTCTACTGGACTCTATCGGAGAGTTCTATCAGAGGGAGCCATGTTTGATGTTTCTGTCACAGGGCACTGTTATCAATAAAGTTTAGATAGAAACAAACACGAAAAAATAATAATGAACTTCCGCTTACGTCCCACCCACCGCCTCAGGATCTATCTTCTGATTGGTTACGACGAACATCAATCAGCGGCTTATTCCCTTCCTTGGTAACGGCCTCGGACCCGGAAGTAAACACGTTAGCCGCGAAATGCCAACAGACTGACGGCAGAGAGAACATCTGTCCAGCTGCTGCGATGAAGAGGAGCGCAGACGTGCACGTGAAGCAGGTGAAGCACGTGATTGCGGCTCTGTGCAGGCTGCTGACGGCCGCGGGGCTGGACCCCGTGCCCCCCCCGGACTCCTTCCGACGGGCCAAGTTTGGAGACGCGGTCCAGGTGAGTCAGGAGCACGTCACCGGCCGCTTTATTAGGTACACCTGGTCAACCACTCGTTTACATAAGTATCTAATTAGCCAATCACAGGACAGCACGTGATGGAGACGAGCTGCTGAAGCTCCAAGAGAAGAAGAAGAAAATAGATTTAAGAGCTGGGTTTCTGAGCTGTCAGAGGGGGTGGAGCATCTTTCCCTCCTGTCTGTAAGAGCTGGTGCTGTGAACGTGGAGCTTTAAACCAGCACCGACTCACTCATCCACAGCTGGGCTGCAGTGACATCTGCAGGTGACACGGAGGCAGCAAAGGGCTCGATAATCACGCTGAACTCGGGTTTGTGCGGATGATGCTGGAAGGTGCTCAGGGCAGCAGGTGCTGGGTGTGATAATGTACGTGTGACGGGGTCACCACTGTTTTCAATACAATAGAACGGATGTTATTGTAACTATACACACGTACAGTGAGATTAAAAACAAATAAATAAGGGTTTGTATTTATTGTTATTGTTGTTGTTATTGCACAGCAGGGATGGTAATTTGCATAGTCTGTGTACAGAGGGGAGTCGGGGGCTGGGGGGGTCAAACTGTGGTCAGTGTGAGTTCAGGCTGGTTCAAAATTCAGCCTTCAAGACATCTGGAGCTGCTAAATGTGTTCCTGAGGAATGACTGCAGTCTTTAGTTTTCCACTGGTGCTTGAACTCAGCGTACACGTCATGTGACGATCCAGGTGATCTTCACGTCAGTGGAAAGAAAGCCACAAATATTAAATGTGTGTAAAGCTCGGACATTTGAACACATCCACACGTGTAGTAGTTTCAGGTGTGTGTGTGTCACATCGTGCACACTTCCTCCTCTTCCTGATTGGACTAACTCAGCGTCTCGCTGGATTTTCAGGAAGATCCGTTTTGGCAGCTGCTCGCCGACATCTTTCAGACCGCCAGCTTCGTTTCCTGTGACAGCTCTGAGCCGACAGCAGGTGAGCACTTCTTCATCTCGCCCTAACTTTGCTCGTGCACGCTGTAAGCTGACGTCTGATTGGTGCTTTTCCTCAGAGCGCAGGAAGCTCGTGGCCGCCGGCTTGTGGCAGAGCGGCTTTCACGCTGACTGGATGTATGAGGGAGAAGGAGGAGGCGCAGCCTCCAGCCGGGAACTCCTCCTGGCGCTCGGCTGGCTGCTCGCCACAGGAGCGCTGGAGAGTGTGGTGATGAAGAGAGTGCAAAAGCTGGACAGGATGCTGCTCACGTGCACACCTGTGAGTACCACGGCAGCGTGCAGGTGAGCCTCCCCCATGTGTGCTTACCTGTGTTCTCCCTCTCTGTCAGGTGCTGCCACACCTTCCTGCTGACCTCCATGTAGACTCCGCCTCCCTGAGGAGACTCCAGTGGCTCATTGGCTGCCTGAGACATCAGAGACGGATGCTGCTGTCGATGCTGCGAGAGCAAACCCGAGCTCTGCACGCTGTGAGGAAACCTCGTCCTTTCATTCATGTGACATCAGAATAATCGGAAACAGCAGTTCCACTTTCAAACTGAGTCAGACACATTTAGCTCAGTGACGTGAAACACAATGTTATATATTATATTATGAACACAACAAGCTCGAAACAGCTTCCCAATTTAGAAATGCATCCAATCCCAGCGCTGACGCTCCCAGTCGGAGCCGTGCTAACCTTACAGGGCTGCTGCGAGCCTGGACCATAAATCCACATTACTGTTTCCACTCATGCCAGGATTTCCACTTTTGTCACGGATGTTCTCCACTTCATGTTCACTAAACCAGATTAAACCAACTGTGTGTTCAGGTTCTTTCTGCGAGCGTCACCCCGGCGCCGTCCTCTGAGCAGAGCTCGGCTGCGCTCGAGGAGGTACGTCTGAGTGTTTCACAAACTCTGTATATGAAAGATGGAGGCAGCTTCCAGCAGTGAGGAAGTGAGCTGATCTCTGAGCTCAGACGAGCTTATGGTCTGTGCGTGTTTTGGAGATGACGTTGCCTTTAGAGTCACAAGGGAGCAGGAGGAGGGAGGGTTTAGGGCGGGGCTACCAGCTGCTGATTAAACAGTACTGATGAGTTTATAACAGGAGGAACTGAAAGGCGTGTCCTTCTGCTGCAGGACTGCGTTTGTCTGCAGCAGCTGTGCAGCCTCCTGGAGGCGTACCTGAAGTGGAAGCAGGTGGAGGACGTCTTCTGGACTTGGATGGTGCGTTTGTGGTTCTCACACCATGAAAATATGATGAATTTAAAAAAGTAATCAGCTTCACAGCAGAGTGGCTGAAACAGCAACGTTAGAGGAAGTGATGCTGTGTGTGTGACTGTAGGACAGCGTTGTGGACCTGAAAGATCCCATCACCGGGAGGCCCAAACATCTGACCAATGAGAACCCCGGAGTGTGTTGTCATGGAAACAGCAGGCTAGAGAAGCTGGAGGCGGTGCTGCTGGGACTGCCTGCAGCTCAGGTGAGCAGCACGCAGGTCCTGACTTTGTCCTACATGGGACAGATTTCTGCTCATCAGAAAGTGTTCAGTCAGATGTAGGCACTGAAAACGTCTCGGTTAGGTGGAAATTTGCCCCTTTGTCACAGTGGATCTGTCCCACCCCACAGTGATGCTGATGCATGGAAAACCTGCAGACCAAACCTGCAGACCGAACCGTGATGTTTCATAGATGTTTAAACTCAAATCAATGCTGTGCGGGCTTCGAGCATTTCCCATGATTCTTTGTTGTTCTGTGCTTTACTCAGATTGCAGGCAGTCGCCTTGACGACATCCAACATAACGGAGCCTAACTCCATTTCAATTTTTAGTTTGAGTTTTATTTAGGAAGCACAAAGCACAGCTGAAGGGTCCGGACTCAGTATGCAGCGGCCCAACAATCACACGACTCGCTGTGAGCAGCAGTGGGGAGGAAGAACTTCCTTTTTAACAGGAAGTAGCATGAACTAGTTTTTCTCTATCAGTCTTGCAAGAACGCAGTCTTACATATTTGTTTAATATGTGCATTGAGGACATGTCCTGGTCAAAAATGACTCCAAGGTTCCTCACAGTGTTACTGGAGGCCAAGGTAATGCCATCCAGAGTAAGAATCTGGTTAGATACCATATTTCTAAGCTTTTCAGGGCCGAGTACAATGACCTCAGTTTGATCTGAGTTAAGAAGCAGAAAGTTAGTGGCCATCCAGGTCTTTATGTCTTTAAGACATTCCTGCAGTTTAACTAATTGGTGTGTGTTATCTGGCTTCATGCACAGATAGAGCTGGGTGTCATCTGCAGTGGAAATCTGTGCAGTGTTTTCTAATCAGGCTACTTACATGGACGTTTATGGTGTTTATACTGATATTTGTGCTCCTGCAGAGAGGACAGAGGAGACAAGGAGGAGATGGTGAGGACAGAGAAGGAGGAGAGAGGACTCGGGGAGGGTTTGGCGTGTCCTTGTCCCTCCCTCCTGTTCTCTCCTCCTTCCCATCCTTGCCCTCCCTCTCACAAGTCTGCCGAGCGAGGCCTCGGCTGGAGGAGCCGAGGAGGCGCCCGGCCAGAGGCCCCGGTGGGCAGGCGGAGCCTCCAAACGAGCTCCCGGCGTCCGAGGCGGTGGCGCTGCTTCTTCATGCAGAGGCCGTGCTGATGAAGAGGAGGGACGAGCAGAGGCTGACCAACAGGACGAAGCTGCAGGAGACGATTGGCAGGCTGGAAGAGCTGGTGCTGATTCCACCGTGAGCGTCAGTTTAAACTGGTGGAGCAGAAGCTGTGAGGACGTTATCGTCTCTGCAGAGACTGAAACAGCTGCTGCACACGAGTCACTTCATTTAATAACTGACAAACACGTCATAACTGGATCTGTTGGTCCGATACATGAAATGCTGTGAAGTCAAACTACAGGCGTCAAAAACATCATTTGCATATTTATTCATTCATCAAATTAAACACAAAGTTGTTTTCAGCAGAGCCAAAAGAGTCACTTTAAAGTTAAACATTTTAGAAATCAACCAGATTCCAGCTTCTGTTTTCTGTCGTCGGGTAAATTTCTGGGACTTTGGAGGCGACCGTGGAGACGCGTCACGAATTCACCACCAGCAGTTTCTGCATGTACGAGTTGAGCCACTTCTGCCTCTCCATGGAGGTGAGCAGCTTGCTCTTCTCTCTGAAAGCCGCGTCGTCGGCCACCACCAGGTCCCTCTTCGCCATCCCGGCTCCCGGAGACGACCATTCTGCAGGCCACGCCCCCTCCACACTACAGACAGAAAACAACTGTTTAAATGGGAGATTCAATTTTGAGTGTTTAATTTAATAATAATAACAATAATAATAATAAACCAGTTTTTATTTTTCTATCCAATCAGACTGCTTTGTACAGATAGAGGAGGAGTCTCCCCCTGCTGGACGCTAGAAAGAATGCAGGTTTAATGTTTTTCATTGTCCTTCTTTCATATACAGTCTGTGATGTTTCATTATGAATTTATCAGTTTTGCCCAGCTGTACCTTGTCTCCGCCCCCTCTGGAGCAAATAACCACGCCTCCCTCATCAGTCCTGCTTTGCTGTTGGCTGCTGCTCTAAGGCCGGGCGCTGACATCATTTGGATGCTCCAATCCCGGAGAGAGATGGAAGGGTAGAGGACGTCCCAGTCGACTCGTTTGTGTTCCCCCGAATCCTCCAAACTTCTGCGATTGGACGAGATCACAGTGACATCACAACGTCATGTAAACATCATTCACATGGCACCCTCAGGCCTCCGTAGGAGGTGAAATCCTCTTTCCAGTGTGCGGCAGAGTGTCTGGCTCATTCATTGGTTCAGAGCGTACCCACCTGAGAGGAAGACGAGGCTGAGGGAAGCCAGACGTCAGCAAGATCATACCCAGAATGCAAAGCAGCGGGACGCACGTGCGGGGAAAAACAGGAAGCTGAGACATCCTAAAAAACAAACAGAAGAAGAATTTTCACAGTTTCATGAAGCTCGTTGTGATTTCACGTTGCAGCGCCTCCTCTGGTCAATGATGGTCACTGATGTAATTCCTAAACATTGTTATTCTGCATTGAGGACCAAAGTCTTCAGGCGTGCGCGTCACGTGTTTCAATCTGAGGCTGACAGAGCAGCTGTAAACGCCGGCGCCCTGACCCTGAGGTCACCGCTCGCCTCTGGCTCGTTATTTCTCAAGCGACCGTGAAACGGCGAGTTTGAGCCCTAACGAGGAGCTTTTGGTGCCTGGAAGTTAATCGGGCTGAGCTGACCTTTAACCCCAGAGACACCTGTTTAGCATGGCTGTCGTCTCTCTGCAGCGGACTGACACGGCCACGTTCTCAACATTGATTTTTTTTCTTTCATTATTGTAATATTACAGGATTCGCTGGCATTGTTGTCATAACGACGACAGCTTTGTGACTTTCATAGACCGCAGGTGTCACTTTTTTATCACCGTGGCAACGCTTCCGCAGCTCTCATGAAATATTATTTCCTCGGTCTCTTCAGCACATATAATAATAATAATAATAATAATAACAATAATAATTATAATTATAATAACTATAATAATAACAACAATAATAATAATAACAATAATAACAACAATAATAATACTAATAATAACTATAATAACAATAATAACAACAATAATAATACTAATAATAACTATAATAACAATAATAATAACAACAATAATAACAATAATAATAGTGATTAAATCACATACAGTTAAAGTGTTTGATTGTTCGGGCGTGATGAGGCGTCACAGGGACAAAACAAACGATGACTCAGACGTTCTTAGATGTAAACAGCAGTGATGAAGGAGGCGGCGCCGTCACGTTATACTCAAACTGGGCTCATGTAATCCATTACTCTTTTCACAGGAAGTTGAGTGATGTCACCACTGTGGTGTTTTTTAAACGTAGCTTATTTGACTCATTCTTACATGATAAAAAACCTAGTTTTAACCCCGCCCCCCTTGCCGTACCTGGACTTCTTTAGAACTGACTAATGAACAAACAGTCTCAGAGCTCACTCTGAGCTCACCTGTGCAGGTGGACACGGATGCTTTTTATACTCCAATCAAGTTAGTTCAGCAATCATGAAGACGTATTCTGATTGGACCCGATGTGTGCCGTCACGCCTCCGCCAGTTTGACCCTGATCTGATGCCGGACTGGATTTGGCGCCCTGTGAGGGACTAACCCGTGATCTCAGTGCCAGTTTGGCACTTCTTACCTGCCGCTCAGGTGTCGCTGTGTCTCCTCGGAGCTGCTCGCGTCACTCGGGGACCAACCAGAATCTGAGCAGAGCTCCAGGCGACTCCGTCCCAGCCGCTCAGATTTCTGCTTCCTGTCAATAAAGTTTGAGTAGAAAGAATAGATCCTCACTCGTGCTTCTTGGTTGACGCTTCGCCGTGTGCGGATGAATGGTGGTCTTTCATACTTATATACAGCTCACTGTGGAGGGTCTGAGCCCCCCCCCACACACACACTGAAGCATGTACACCCCTCAGCAGATCAATCCAGCTGTGGTTCAGCCGAGGATGCCGTTAGCTTGTTAGAGACCCGTTTCAAAGACTGTTAGTCACCGTGCTGCAGAGGGCCAGCGT